TTGGGAGACAAATGAAAAGAACTGGGAGACAAATAAAAGGAAGTGGGAGACAAGCCGGCCGGACCCGACCAGACCATCCAGCACCAAGGTGACCATTCTTTAAAGCATTGAGAACCCCTAACAGTAAACTGTTTGGGGAATAAAATCCCAGGTCGCCATTTCTGGAAAATCGTAGCGTCCAGATTGGTAGGGATTGAACATGGTGATCCCAAAATGCAGAAGAACCGATGTTTCAGCCCTCTTGCTGAGCTGTTCCTGGGTGCCACGGCCAAGGTGGCTCCCCCTGAGTTGGAATCAAACGTGCCGGGCACGTTGAAAGTCCGATTGGAGTCGGAGCGCGAGGCTGGCGCAGTGAGGAGTGGGGGCAGGGGTTGTTCGGAGCGATCCTTCGGTGGGCCATGAGTTATGGCTGGCGAGAGGGAGCCTACCTCAACACACGGTGAGTTTTCAAGTTTGGGTTGCACGGTTTCACTCCTTTTTGGTATCAGGACTAGTCCAGATTCATGCATTGTACATATTTTTTTAAAGGTTCAATTAAGGTTGAATGTGTTGGTTGGTTTCGTTTTTTGCCTGTTCAGTGGTGCATCAGTGCCTCAATTGGGACTCCAAGACATCCAAGTGCGAAGTGCGAAGATGGAATTCAAGGCCTTCCTGGCGGAAATGGGGCAGAAACCTTCGCCAGAGCCAAACACAAAGGCAAACAATAAGATTCAAGACTACGTGTGGATGTGCAACTTCAGGGCCAGGAGTGGCATGTGAATTCTTTTTTGATGCCCAATCAGCTGACATGGCATTCTGCAAGGCTGCCCATCACGAAGAATATGCACACCTTTTGCTTAGCCGGTCAGCTCCGAAGAGAGTTGGTTCCTTGAAGGTGTTGAGGGAGCTGCTCCTGAAGCTGAATGGGTTGATGCAATCTTCCACGAATGATGTTTGCACAAGAAGTGGGGCCCCGGATTCTTCAATCAGAGTCTCTCACCTCAATGGTCAAAGGATTTGGGTTTCAAACTGTTTAAAATATGGTCAGTAGCTTGTACAATTATCCTGGAGTAGATAGGCATGAATAAGCACGGATTGTGTCCTAGTTTTGTTTGCGGGACAGGTGAGGAGCAGTCTTCGAGTGGTTTCCCTAATGACAGACGAGTGAGTGAGCCAATCAGAGCGTGTTGATTGTCACACACAGCATTGAGGAGATTGTGAGGCCACAGTCATACGAATTACTTCATAGACAGCCTTGGGATCCCTCTCCAGCTAGAATATCTAAAATGTGTCCACGTATAGTGTTCGTTTACTTCAAAGACTTGATGTACAGCCCATCACTGTCACAGTTGCCCCTTGAGAGGTTGCCGTCCGGCCGCCCAACTTGGACCTGCTGGAAGGCGGGAGTGACGAGGTGTTTCCATATAAAGCTGAGGAGCCGTGTAAAGTGTCGGGCTGGTCATGGTCTAACTCGCTGCCTTTGGACCAAGGGAACTCACAAGTCTAATGACATACTCCTCTCTATTTGTCACAAAGGTCATTTATTTGACCCAACTCAGTTGAAGCTGTATGTACCATTTAAGGTTGCCAGGGCGGCAACTCGGCAAACATCCTGATTTGCACCCGCTCTGGATCGACACCTGGCATAAAAGTGCGACTCATCGTGCAAACTACAAAGATGGTCGCAATCAACCGTATGTTGTGGACGCGAGCCAGCCAACCCAGGAATTCAAGCTGGCATTGACAAACATGCCACTGTTAAGCTTTTGAATTCCAAAGAGTTGGTGCCATTTGATAAAGGCATTCTTCGTGCAATTCTTTCTGACGGCATAGTCACACAACGGTTCTTCTTCTCCTCCAAACAGGTGCCTCATCCTGTTTGCCCATACTGCTGGAATGCAGTGGAAACGCTGGAACACCTTGTTTGGCATTGCCCTCACTGGAGGGATGTTCGACTATCCATTCTTTCCGACCAACAGATCAACAACAACAGCATTTTGTTTATTCACATAGCCAAGCCTCTGGCCGTATCAATTGGCTGAAGCTGCAAGGAGACTTGCTCTGCAGTCAGCAGACACGTCCCGCCGCTCCCTGGTATCAAGGGAGAGGCCAAACTTGAGCTCAATAGCCTGTGGACGGCGTGGACCCGAAACGCCAACCCAAAGAGGAAGGTCCCCCTGAAAGACCATCTCCCTGGAGGGAGCAGATTGGTCAATTCGTGGCCACCAAAATTGCGCATGCCTGTGCCTCGCACCCGGAGCTTGCCGATACTGCCAGGTCCTGTCCAATCTACACAAATATTTGGAGGCAGTTAATCACGGGGCTGGCCATGTAGCATTTCTATTCATTTGTCTCCCAG